GAAAGATCCTTAAAAACCCGGCATTAATATATGCAAACATAATGATCAGCTTAGCAGTACGTCCCCAGTTCCCATGGATCAGCCCGTCTGTCTGTGTGAAAATTGAGGTTTTGTCTGCTAAAATATGAGCCTCCGGTTTAGACTGATAAATTGCAACTCTCAGTAAACTCGAGTCAATCGATAAACCAAGAGCTGGCAGCACAAAGCCTTTTTACAAAGACGGCTTCAGTATTGTAGGTTATATTATGGCATAATTGGGTTTTAGATTTGTAATTACAGTGCATGCACACGATTCTCATCAACATTTGTGTCGTTTTGTCTCATTTCACACCGTCTTCGCCTTTAACGTTAGCCTGTAATTTCCACTGCAAATGTTAAGTCTCCCAAGAGCTACACAGACCATCTTAATCTCAGGTTAACAACCAAAGTAATGCTAATTCACTTTGCAAACTCAATTTAGACCATATTAAACTGTTAGTATGCTACCTTGGGCTACATACCTCAACCTTGTGCTGACAACTCTTGGAAGTGTAATCAGCTTCCAAGGGCATGTTTCGCATTTACTATGACAATTGAATCCACCTGAACGCTTCAGGCCTTAGGTAGATTGAGCCATCAGCTGGGTTTTCAAGACACATGGGCTGAATTGCAAACTAGTGTTGGGAAACCTAGTGCTTAGCTAGTCCTTAGTCTCGCTTAACCAAAGTCAGCATGAAGGCTGGTCCTGTTTGCAGCTTATTATGGTCAAGAACCGACAGATATGACATGTAAAGTAGCCCCCACAGTTCAATACGTGCCGTTTAGGTTATGCAGGTTGGAAGAGTCATGTCCACATCAAAGATGGCAGAAAGCAGCTCTATGGTGTATGGCAGTGAATGATTTTAATAAGATACTTTCATTTCATTGACATATTTTATTTGATTTCAAAATTCTTGTTAACATCAAAATTAAAGGGATAGTTCACCTTCAGTTGCTGGTCCCTATTGACTTCCATAGTATGGGGAAAAAACTCTACAAGTCAATGGGGAGGACCAGCAACTAAAGGTGACCTATTCCTTTAAGGCATTATTTTAGATACCATACATAAATAATCCTGTAGTTTGTGTAAAAATGTTGCACATGTATTCACTTGTGTTTATTCACTGGAACAACACATTTTTAATGCATTTATTTTGCTTCTGTATTTTGTTTTATATGGAAACTCATTTGTTCACATAGGAAACAAAAGCATGCTTTGGTAAATCTTAATTATGAATAAAAAGTTGCGATTAAGGGATAAAAGTCTAAATATTCAAAAGTAGTATTTGTGTTTTATACAATATAGTATTTTGTATAACACAAGTTTTTGTGAATTATGACTGTCAATTTTAATTTTAATCTCATAATTATGACTTGTCATAATTATTACTTTTTATTTCATAGCTGACTTATGTCAATTTCAGCTATTTGTATGTCAAAATTCTGAATTTGGGATGATGATTTCAATTTATAATCTAATTATTATGATTTAGTAAATACAAATTTTGAGTTTGTATCTCACAACTGTCATGGTATTTCATAATTTTGACATAATTATGACATGGTTTTTCATCATTTTGACTTCTTGACTATTTCACAATGACTTATGTCAATGTCAAGGTTTTATCTGATAATTATGACATTTTTGTGAATTGCGAGTCAATTTTAACTTTTCATAATTTTGACTTTTTATCTCATAATTATGAAATATATTTTTTGTAATTTTGACTTGTCATAATTTAGACTTTTCTTTGGAAATGGGCATCCATAGTTTCAGACTTGAGTGCCTTATAAATGAAGTCAGACCTTACTAGGTGCACTTGAAAGTGGCATTGCTAGCCTGTACTTCCCCTTACAGAAATCGCTACTACAGTTAGCATTACAATATTGCTGTATTTTAACTTGGTATTAGCTACTGCTATTATAAAAATAAGAAAATAAACTAAATGATTCAGGAAGAATTTTGAATTCCTTATGCTGTTTTAAGGAGATTGCATGTTATTTATTATGCTTTTACAATATTACCTGTGGATACTGTGGTTAGCATGGTCAGTTTTCAGAAGGATCAGGTTAGGGTTGTGCCGATAGACGATAGTATCGCGTATCGACGATAGTCAGAGATATCGACGATAGCAGATGTCTTTGTCGATAGCCAAGACGATATTAGGCTCATTCGCCTATTAATGTATTAATAATAATAATAATAATTATTATTATTGTTATTATTATTATTAGGCGGCCCATTCTAATTCGGCTATTATTATCAAATTGCCCCGCTGTTTCATTCAGCACTGTATTTCACACAAATGAGGAGCCTGTAGCCAGTGAAGGAGTCTCCAACCACAAACACAGACATATCGTCTGCTGATATAAGGTATTTCGTTGCACTTTAACAAGTAATCTGAACGGCCTATATATGTGCAATATTTTAACCGAG